ATGTCAGAAGCGATTTTAGAAACTGCAAGTTGCTTCTGGTGTGAGAGAATTGGCCATCTGCAGGGATGTTCCCAGAGAATGCGTGGATGTTTTACCATCCTGTGGGAGGCTCCACACTGGGAAGCTGGAGCTGACAGAAGGGAGCTCACCCCATCTCACTGATTTGAACCACTGACCTTCAGGTCAGCAGTTCTGTTGGCACAAGGGCTTAACTCATTGCACCACCATGGCTTCTGGCATATGAGTCAAACTGCATAATGTGGCAATGCAGATGGGGCCTTAAATTGTATTGTCCTGGTTTGCTGTTGATGGAAATCACTTTGCTTGAAATCCCTTCCAAACTTACCTTGCACGTACATTTTTTTTTTTTTTGCTATCTCAAAATCATATCAATATCACTTTGTTTTCTGAATCTTAAGGATCCAGGCCATATTGGGCAAAGTAAGTTTTGTCCTGGCTTACTATAACTACTATGTATGCTTGCATTCCCTTCCAAAGTTTTACTTCCGGATGCTCAGATTTAATTGCCCCTACATATGGACAAATTAAAAGCATAAAAATCACCTTAACTACGATATATAACATCAGCATTTCCCTCTTCTAAGTTAACTTAATATAATAAGAGTTTCTTATATTTCCTAACAGAACTCGTTTTGATTTCTGAAAACTTGTTTCTTAGTGTTCTTCACCTAAAGCAGAACTTTCCAAACTGTGTATTATTATAGAGCAGGACTCATCAATTTTTTTAGGCAAAGGGCCGATTCAGGGTCCCTCAGACAGTTGGGGGACCGGAATATGCTTTGAAAAAAAAAATGAATTCCTATGCACACTGCACTTATCTTATTTGTAGTGCAAAAAAAAAAAAAACCCATGAAAGAGCAATACAATGTTTAAAATGAAGAGCAATTGTAACTAGTATAAACTTTCTAGTATTTCAAATGGGAAGAGTGGGCCTGCTTTCTGCTGATAAGATAGTCAGGTTAATTAGATTTGTTGTTGTGTCTTCAAGTTGTTTCAGACTTAGGGTCTATGGAACTTCCTCCCTAGTGAAATTAGATTGGTCCCCTCCTTCCTGACCTTCAGGAAAAAATGAAAGCCATGGCTTTGGGAACAAGCTTTTGGTCAGTAAGCAGCGCAGTAAGAGACTACAAATAACAGAATGATGACTCAGATTGGCCCTGGAACATGATTTGGATTTTGTGATTTTGACAGATGTTTTAATGTAGATGTTTTTAATTGGGTTGATTTGAATGCAATTGTTTATTTACCAATATGTATAAACGGTATTGAATTTTGTCTTTGTGAGGCCGCCCTGAGACCCCTTTGGGCTGAGAAGGGCAGGGTACAAGTGTGGTAAATAAATAAATAATAGGGTGACACTAAGTCTAAAACAGGCCTTATTTTGCATTAGTCGACTTCAGTGTGGTGTCATGAAAATGTAACAAGAAATAACAAAAACCCTTGGAATCGTGTGTTATTGTGTTACTCATTGTAAGGTAAAGGTTTTCCCCTGACATGAAGTCCAGTCGTGTCCGACTCTGGGGGTTAGTGCTTATCTCCATTTCTAAGCCAAAGAGCCGGCGTTGTCTGTAGACACCTCCAAGGTCATGTAGTCAGCATGACTGCATGGTGCGCTGTTACCTTCCTGCTGGAGCGGTACCTATTGATCTACTCACATTTGCATGTTTTCAAACTGCTAGGTGGACAGAAGCTGGGGCTAACAAAGGGGAACTCGCCCTGCTCCCCGGATTCAAACCTGCGACCTTTCAGTCAGCAAGTTCAGCAGCTTAGCAGTTTAACCCACTGCTCCACCAGGGACACATTGTATATGTTTCAAAATATGAATGAAAGGTTTTCATGAGAAATATTCTGATCCCATACACTTCAATATTACAGTTTACGTATGTATCCATATATCTTAAAAGGGGTTGGTTTGACCTCAGGTTTGCCAGTAAAACTTACTGTACAACAAAATGATGCGTGTCTAGAAAGTGTGTCACCAACACTGAAAGCTCTGATGCATACTCTGTCTCACTGTCTGAACTGCTTCTTGACCTTTTCCTATAGACGCTTCCTTAGAAATAAATTCTAGTGAATTATACAGTAGCTATTTGCTCGGCATTAATAGAAATATCCAATTGTTTCAGCCAACAACAGACCAACTGAATACACAGGACTTGTATATGTACTGACTTAACAAGTCCCATAGGTTCAATGATCACGTGTAGTTGGATTAAATCCATAAAACTAGTCTCTATGTAGGAATTACCTGTGCATCCTACAAAATATGTCTGCCAAATATTTATCCAACAAATACCAAGGATATGAATAACTGTTTTTCATCTCCAACAACGGAACAAGATTTTAATTCATTTGTATTTCAAACACAGATTCAGAAAGAGAGAAGCAGAAATTACCCTAAAATATTCCATCAGCCAGACTGTTTTCCAACACACCAAATGTTACCTTGTCACAGTAAGGTGATTACAGGTGCTTGTGCTCACATTTCGTCTCTTCCGATATTTATCAGTGTTTCAAAGTTAAATGCAATTGGGTAAGAACTATAAAGTTGATCAGGATGACTGGAAAAGTTCCTTCTAATCCCTTGTCAAAAGGGAACAAAAGATTAGAGAAATTAATTTCAGCAGTTAATACTATTGTAATTTGGAACCAATTACCAAAAATAATGACCAGGGTAATGAAAAATACACAGCGAGTCAAAAGTCACTACCTGACTTTCTTCTCTCTTTTGTCTTTGTTCTTTCAGTTAATCTGTTAAAGCTCAAATGGAAGAATTCAAATTGCCTGCTCATTAAACCTCACCTGTTTTTTTCAGCAACAGAATTTTAATAAATGTAATTCTTAGTATTCACATACTGAAGTGTTCAGTGTACTGCATAGACTTGCATTTTTCAAGCATTTCAATAACTTCATAGTGTAAGTGATCAGTATTACTTATTGCAACTGGGCATCCCCCATACACAATGGAGTCCTTGTGAACAGCAAGTTAAACATGAGCCAACCACGCCATGCAGCAGCTAAAACAATCAATGGGATTTTGTCCTGTATAAATAGGAATATAGTGTCTAAATCCAGGGAAGCCATGCCACTCCTCTATTCTGCCTTGCTCAGACCACACTTGGAATATTGTGTCCAATTCTGGGCACCACAATTGAAGAGAGATATTGACAAGCTGAAATGTGTCCAGAGAAGGGCAATTAAAATGATCAAGGGTCTGGAGAACAAGCCCTATAAGGTGCGGTTTAAAGAGCTGGGCATGCTTAGCCTTAAGAAGAGAAGATTGAGAGGGGACATGATAAGGACCATGTATGTGAGATGAATTCATAGGGAGGAGGGAGCAAGCTTGATTTCTGCTGCCTTGGAGACTAGGAGGACATGGAACAATGGCTTCAAACAATAGGAAAGGAGATTCCACCTGAACATTAGGAAGAACTTCCTGACTGTGAGAGTTGCTCAGCAGTGGAACTCTCTGCCCCGGAGTGTGGCGGAGGCTCCTTCTTTGGAGGCTTTTAAACAGAGGCTGGATGGCCATCTGTCGGGGGTGCTTTGAATGCAATTTTCCTGCTTCTTGGCAGGGGGTTGGACTGGATGGCCCACGAGGTCTCTTCCAACTCTATGATTCTATGATCCTAAGGATCAATCTGAGGCTCAGAGAATGGAAACTTACAAGTTCACTTTGTAAATACATGAGAGTTCCTGGTAACAATTGTATCCCATGAGTTTTGAGGAAATGATTTCACATTTGCCCAAGTTTGTGCAAGTAGCTGCACTATTCAGAGTGGACCCAGTGTTTTATTTTTTAATAGTATTTACTCAATTTTAAACATACATAAAATAAAACCATTTACATTTTTAAAAGCAAAAATAAACCAAGACAGCAAAGTCCCAATGACAAACAGAAAAAAAGAAACCAATTGTGTTAATGGGGATGGGGGGAAGGGTGGAAGGGTAAGGGACACATTGACTTCCATCTACTTCTTGGTGTAGGTAACATTATATCCTACATATTTAATCCTCTCTTCTTTCCCACTTCTTTAATGTAACATGTTCACAGAACAGCTATTTCGTGCAAATTTAGTCCTCCTTCCATTTATATTAATATTTTCATCCTCTCTTTTTTAAAAATAGTCTTTTACTAATTGCCAGTCTGTTTGGGATTTCCTTCCCCCTTGGTTCGTTGCCATTAAATATGTCAGTCTGTCCATATTCATGATTTCCATTGATTTCAATATCCATTGGTCGATTGTTGGCTCCTCTTCATTTCTCCAGTACCTAGCATAGATGATCCTAGCCGCTGTAGTCACATAATTAAACAAAATCTCTTTGTTTTTGCTTTTTTCCATTTCAATGTCCAGCATTGATGTGAGTTTTCCACGCAATATGGCCATGTTCCAGAAGCATTATCTCCTGATGTTTTGCTAACAACTATGGCAGGCATCCTCAGAGGTTGAGTGTTGGAAACCAGACAAGTGGGGTATATATATTTGTGGAATAATGTCCAGGGTGGGAGAAAGAACTCTTGTCTGCTTGAGGAAAGTGTGAACATTGCAATTGGCCACCTTGATTAGCATTTAATAGCCTTGCAGCTTCAAAGCCTGGCTGGTTGATGCCTGGGGGATCCTTTGTTGGAAGCTGTTAGTTGGCCCTGATTAGTTCTTGTCTGGAATTCCCTCTCTCTTTTTTTTTGTGTTGCTCTTTTTTGTTTACTGTCCTGATTTTAGAGGTTTTTTAACAAACAAAAAATACTAGTATCCAGATTGTGTTCATTTTCACGGTTTCCCCCTTTCTGTTGAAATTACTGACAGGAAAAGAAAAGTCTGCTAGCATCCTCCTAGTTGCTCCTCATTCGCATTTCTATTATCTCGCGAGAACAGCAGAGACCGAGCCTTTTCCCTCTCTCCCTCCTCCCCAGGTAGCCAGAACCCTATGGAATTAAAAGCCATACAACACTTCCGGGTTCTCATTGAAGGTGAGGGTGGAGACAGGATCGAAAAAGGCTTCAGAGATACGAAAAGAGTAGAACGGCTTTTCCCTTTGCCGCTTGCTTGTTCTGAAGCATAGGGAGGCGTGTCCAATCGAAGCCGGAAGTGTATTAGTGTGCCAACTCTTGGGGCTCCCAGCTGTGCTGCAACGCGTCCTCGCGCGTTGCCCTCGCGCCATGGAATCTCCTGGGCGCGCGCCCATTGGAGTCACTAGGATCCTGATGGTAATGTCCTTGCTATTATGCCTATGTGTCTATCTTAGGCGGGAAGTTTCGGATGGGAGCCTCGTTTCCAGAGAAAAAAAGGCGCCTGTACCTTTAAGAATGGGCAACCAAGAGGGTTTCAGCTGCTGCTGCTGCTTAGCATGCAATCAAATGACAAGGAAATCCTGCTGAAATTCCCTCTTCTCTGCAATCTTTAACTTTAGTGAGGGTTAACAGTTCATAGGTCCAGATAGTCATAATAATAACAAGAATAACAACACTAAAAGTTTAAAAAAGTGAAGAGGATGTATGTACCATCGTCGTCATCATTATATTTATTTGACCTCAAATCAGCTTAAAAACAAAACCATTTAAAACCGACATAATCTAAGGATTAAAATATACTTAAAATTATATTTCTTAAATATCATTAATTAATTAATTACTGCCCCCTTGTTGACCAAAAGGTTGCAGGTTCGAATCTGAGAAGCGGCGTGAGCTCCTGCTGTCAGCCCCAGCTTCTGCCAACCTAGCAGTTCGAAAACATGCAAATGTGAGTAGATCAATAGGTACTGCTCCAGCGGGAAGGTAATGGTGCTCCATGCGGTCATGCCAGCCACATGACCTTGGAGGTGTTTACAGACAACGCCGGCTCTTTATCTTAGAAATGGAGATAAGCACCACACCCCAGAGTCGGACACGACTGGCCTTCATGTCAGGGAAAAACCTTTACCTTTACCTACAACTATAGTGTTAGGAGAGCAATGATGATATATGTATTTGTGCCCTGATTTGCTCCCCAGATTGGGACTCCAAAGCAGCTTACAACATAAAAGAACAGAATTCAAAGCATACAGAAAGTGGGCCTTAAAATAAAATCCAGCTGTGGACACGGCATTAAAGCAATTGGAAAAGAATAAAGTGAAAACCTACCAAGACAGTTCATGTTAAGATAATGCAGCATCCCCATGCTGTTCTTCAAAAGCTTTGTTTCAAAAGCCTGTTAGATTTAAAAGAACGGTTTGCCTGCCAAACGAAAGAGAGGATCGCCATCTGCTTTTAGTGGTGGGGCTCCTCCACCGTTTAACAGGGACATGATGGGCCAGAGTGCAAGAGCAGTTAGCTGGCAGTAAGCGTACATGTCTGTGTGTGTATACACACACATACACATATACATACATATTGTAGAGAAAACTGAAATAAACAATGTGCTGAAGCAGTACAAATTAAGCACCTGGTCTAATGTTATGGTAAACTAGTGCATATATCCGATATTGCCCATGTGTTCAAGGGGCCGCTATCTGCCTGCTTTCTCCCTTCTCCAGCTCTAAGAAAACCTACCTCACAATATCTTCATGGCAACACTGTAGCTGTCTCTTTTCTTCCTCCATTTCCCCCATAAACTTTCTCCCTCTCTATCTCCTTCCCTTCCTTCCTTCTTCCTTCCTTTCTTTTTCTTTCTCTTTCTTCACTCCCTTACACCCCTCCTAGGCATGTCACTTAGCAACAGCCAATCCACTTCACTCCCTTGATTTCCCAGTCTTTAGACTAGGGGTCCTCAAACTGTTTAAACAGAGGGCCAGGTCACAGTCCCTCAAACTGTTGGAGGGCCGGATTATAATTTGAAAAAAAACATGAATGAATTCCTATGCACACTGCTCATATCTTATTTGTAGTGCAAAAACACTTTAAAACAATACAATAATTAAAATTAAGAACAATGTTAACAAATATAAGCTTATTAGTATTTCATTGGGAAGTGTGGGCCTGCTTTTGGCTGATGAGATAGGATTGTTGTTGTTGTGTGCTTTCAAGTCGTTTCAGACTTAGATTGACTGTGAGCGAGGGCCAGGTAAATGACCTTGGGGGGGCCGTATCCGGCCCTCGGTCGTAGTTTGAGAACCCCTGCTTTAGACAGAGGGCCACTTCACCTGACCACAGTCCATCTGCTTCATTATTTTTCTTTCCCTCTGGTCAGTGCCCAAAATGGATGGGGTTAGATACTGAAGGGTGTGTATGCCATGTTTGGTCCAGATCCATCATGTCATGTAGGAGCCTTTGTGGTACAAGCCAACATACATATATAGACATATACACCATAGATAGATTAATTATTTTGAAGTCAGATCATGGCTTGTATTTCAGCTAAGAGTGCCAAAGATTTGACTTGAATCCAGGCAGATTGATGCTGTCAGAATGACTGGTAGTAGAAGAGGGGAGTTTAAACCGATGTCAAAACATATATACACATAATAAATAATAATACACTTTATTTATATTCCACTTTATCTCCCCGGAGGGACTCAGAGTGGATTAAAGTACATATGAGGCAAACATTAATGCTTTTTTACATGAACAACAACATACAATACAGAAATAAGGTAAAGGCCTTCCCATTTCCATCTCCGACGTCTGGAGGCAATGCTCAACTTCCGGACATAGGGAGGTGCTGTTGTTCCATTTTTCGTTCCAAAGGAGTCTGCTGTCGGTAGACATCTCCGATCTTTTTGCCAGCATGTCTACATGGCGTACCCTTTCACCTTCCCATCGATGTACCTATTGATCTACTCACATTGCATGCTTTTGAACTGCTAGGTAGGCATCTCTCTATATATAGGGGGAGGAGAGAGAGAGAGAGATCACCTCTGTTAGGCATCGGGTTTTAGATGAATTATGAAAATATAATGTACATGTAATAAGAACCCAGGTAATTCATTTGTATTTGCTATAATAAAAATAATGTTTTCTTTCTTAATGTTTTTTATAGGACACAGACTGGTCCGAACCATGGATCTTGGGACTCATATTTTTTCACATAGCCTGCCTCTTTCTCACTTACTTTTCTTTCTGGCATTACCGACTGCAAATAGGGCAGTTTCTTTCTCTCAGTGAGTATTGATTATGGTATATTTATTCTATCTTTCCTCGTTCTCAGTTTAAACATTCAGGCATATATTTAAGCCATATATGTGGCCATCTTCATTCCCTATCTACCTATACCAGTCTCATAGAATGTGCCTGTTGATTATAGGAAGGGAAGGACCTTAAAAGCTATTTATTTATTAAAATATTGTTATGTATGCCCGGGATCAAAACATCCTGGGGTTTTGTACCCATAAAATCACTGCAAATAAACAGAAACAATATACAGTGATAATGATAAACAAGTTAACATGTTCAATGCAATTGTCATGTTAAGAACAGCTTTCATAACCATTAGAAAACCATATCGATTTGCATGTTGAGATAAATCAGTAATTCCCAAAGACCATATTTCTACTTGGTGCTAAAATGAAATCATGTGTTGTTCTTCATCTTCCAAGTTATGTTTAGTGGGACAGGGGCATACTTCATTGTGGCTTTTGTGTTATGGATGCAATTCCATGTTCTCTATTCTTTAATGAATTAAACATTGCATTTGTTTTCCCTGTTGTAGTGATTCTAGTATTCTGTGCAGAATATATAAATGAAATGGCTGCTGCAAACTGGAGGTAAACATATGAACATCTTCTTTATTATATATCTTTTGTTTTTAAACATTTGTGTCATGTGTCACAAGTGGCTTGTGTCCGATAATTAATAATACAGTTGGCCCTCAATACACGTGGAGGTTAGGGGATTAGTTTCCCCGCAAACCTAGATAAAACGCTAATAAAATAACTATTGGGAATAAATAGACCAATTTCATATTACCCGAGAGAGCACTTTTCTATGCATTTTGAATAAAATCATGCAGCAAGACCTAGAAATACTTAGAGAGAACTAGGTAGATGGGTGAACAACTCACATAATTCCAGTTTAACCCCCTGAAACTCCATTAGTAGTTGAAGTTTGTCATGTTGGGCAAGTTTGCTCTAGATGCATCCTTGGTGGGGTTCAGTGTGATCTCTGGCTGCAGGATAAACTACAGCTCCCATCAAGGTGGGTCAGCCCCCTCAAATCCCTTCAATAGGTTCAGTTGGTCATAGGGATTCTGTGTGCCAAGTCTGATCCAGATCCGTCATTGGTGATGGTCAGTGTCTCTGGATGTAAGTGAACTACAACTTCCAGAAATGAAGGTAGTTCCCCACAAATCCCTCCAGTATTTTCAGTTGATCATGGTAGTTCTGTGTGCCAAGTTAGGTCTAGGGCCATGGTTGGTGGAGTCCAGAGTGCTCTTTGTATTGCAGGTGAACTATAAATCCCAGTATTTACAACAGCTATAAATCAAGGCGAATTCCCCCAAAACCTTTCCAGCATTTTTTGTTGGTCATGGGAATTCTGTGTTGCAAATGTGATCCGGGTCCATTGTTGGTGGGGGTCACAGTGCTCTGACTTGATGCAGGGTGAACTACAACTATCCTGTGGAGTCAATCCCCCAAATTCCTCCAGTATGTTTAGTTAGGGATTCGTTCTGCTCTGTTTGTTGTGCAAAAAGAGTTCACAAAGAGTTGAAAAGATTAGGAAAGGGTTAAAAGAGAGGCAGTGGGCGGGATCATGCAAATTCCACACCAATGGAGGGAGTAAGAAACACTGGGATGTCTGTGGTGGAGGAAACATGTAAAATGAAATGGTCCCCAAATGAAAGCATTCCTTAGATTTTGGGTAGTATGGTGTTTGGGGAGGACATTGGCAGGGGTTGGGCTACATGTTCATGGTGCTCGTAACCTGTAATGCCATTGGAGGAACGGCTTTTGGTGGCTCCTCAGCATTGTAGGTTAAAGCTGTTTGTGGAAGTGGGAACCTGTCTGTGGAAGTGGGCACCCCAGCCACATACACACATACATATTTTGCACTTTTAATCGATACAGATACATGAAAAATACAGTAATATGTAAATAATAAAATCTGTAAATGCAAATATGGAGGAACAACTGTACTGCATATTAATTTAAAAACAAAAGTAATATCTTGTCGAAGGCTTTCATGGCCGGAATCACTGGGCTGTTGTAGGTTTTTTCTGGGCTATATGGCCATGTACTAGTAATATCTACTTATATAGTAATATCTATATAAGTAATAACTATATGAAACAAATGCAACAGACAATTAATATTTTTATTAGAGGGAATGAGCAAGGTAGTTTTTACTGTTTGTTTAGTAGCAAAAGTATTAAAAGTAAATTGTATATCAAGATGGCATGAGGAATATAATACCTTAGGGGTAACAAACCAAATATTAAACCCTTCAATGTTACATTAATTGCAACATTAAGAATATTCCTAACCCTCTGCCCCTAAAATCAAAGTGCTTAAATGTGATTGGAGTATCTCTCCATCTCTACCAAATTTTCCTATTTGGAACAAGAGTCTTCAGCTTGAGATTGCTACGAAAGTCCTCATATCCTGCACTTCATACAGAAATGGATTTGTGATTTACAAAAAGGAGTTGATAAAAGTTAGGTAACGACCCCCCCCCCCAGACATGTGTTTGGGTTTGTTTTGTTTTGTTTTTTGCCCAGTACTGCAGCTTGTATAATTGGATTTCCAGACAGAGGTTGTGAGCCCTGAACAGCAGGAGTCTTGCAGAGGTGATGCCAGGTGCACATTAATTCAGGAGGTCTTGCCATTTTCATGGCTGACTTAAGCCAAATGCTCTCAGTGGAGGCAAAGCGCATGAGTGGCAAGAAGCAGGTGTTAATTTATACACTAGGGAAAACACAGTTTTCCAAGTTTGAGTATTTAAAAGTAGACACTAGAGTATTATCAGCACAAGTTTTCATAGAGAAAAACAGACATGCCATTAAATCAGGGGTGTCAAACACATTATCATCAAGGGCCACATCAGCTTTATAGTTGCTTTCAAAGGACTGTTGAATCCGTGGCTGGATACAGAGGACCAAATATAATTTTTTTACATAGTGGTTGGCACTCTTTTGCTTTTACCCCAGGTGTTACTGAATGACAACTCTCATCTCTTTTAATTATCTGTCATGTAGACAGGAGATAGTAGGAATTGCAGTGCAATAACACCTGTGGCTCTGTGGTTGGGGAAAGGATAAAGGGCATTTTAAAGTCAGGCATCATATCCAGAAGCCTTGTACCTAAATTGAAAGCCCACTCCCCTGACTAAACAGAACAAACTACAACCTTCCAGATGATACTGTATCACAACTCCCATCTGGTCAAGTCTTGTTGTCTAATAATGAGGAATATTGGAGTTGTACTTCCGCATCTGAAGGGCCACAGAAAATGACATGACAAGCAGAATTCAGCCTCCGGGACTTGAGTTTGACACATGAGCTTTAAATAACTATAGAAACAAATATGCCTTGCCTCTTACTCATCTTAATGCTTATACTTATCTGTTTCATTGCATATCATTTTTATGATCCCATCAATTTCCAACATGAATAAGATTTTTTTTTTACAAAAAAAAACAACCTCTAGAAAACAAATAATCTTAGGCATATACCATTAGAAGAAAGGAATCAGATGGACATGTTCCAAATTAAATATGTATCCTATTGCAGCCTAATTTTTCCTCCTCTATTTTCAGATTGTTCTCAAAGCACCAATACTTTGATTCCAGGGGAATGTTTATTTCCTTAGTGTTCTCAGCACCATTACTGCTGAATGCTATCATCATTGTGGTAAGGCTTAATCTTTTGTAAGAAATGTAATTTTTGTAAGAAATTTTTAAGAAATGTATGAATACCTTCTACAGTTTGTTGCAGTGTCAAGTTTTCCTGCAGTGGGGATGTGATCCATTCAGAGGCATCATTTCAAATACTGTGTCACTCTAAATTGCATTCTCTACCAATCAATCTCTAGAGCTCACTAAGCATTCTTAGGGTACATCTGCACTGTAATATTAATGCAGTTTGAGCTTGGTTTAACTGCCATGGCTCCATGCTATGGAAGTTGTAGTTTTCAATGTCTTTAGCCTTCTCTTCCAAAGAGTGTTGATGCCTATCCAAACCACAAATCCCAGGATCCCATAACATTGAGCTATGGCATTTCAAGTGGTGTCAGTCTGCATTCATTCTACAGTGTAGAATCATCATCAGTGGGCTCCTTTATTGCTCCCTTCTCCCAGATTATTTTGCTAAACATTGTCAGTATTTCTGTAAACTTTGTGGTTCCTTTAAGCCTGCTAGTGCTTCCTGCTTCTTTATGGATGGTGTCATTTTGGCTCCATTAAACACTTGGCATCTGGAGAATTAATTCCCACTCTGAGGAAGAAAGACATTTTAACTTGTGAACCATTTGCTTTTCATTTGTTTTTCAGATTGCTTGGGTTTATAAAACAGTGAATGTCATGACAGAACTAAAGACTATACAGCAGAAAAGAAAAGCAAGAAGAGAAAATAAGAAAAGTCAATGAATAATTCTTTTTTAAGTTCTAGTACTCTTTATCCAAGAGCTGCCATGTTGTGCTTAACAATGTAATGTTAAGAGCTCTTTTCTTAACAGTACTATCTTCCTGTTATCTTTCTTGGTTTCTTCCTATTTCAAACAAAACTGTTCATTCTTGTTTTGGATGTGCGTGTCTCACTCAAACACATGTGTCAGTGCGTAAACTGTTTGAACCAGATGTAAACCATTTTATTTGATTAATGTTATGCTGTAAATAAATCAAATGTTTTTCTATAGACTTATTGAAGTACTCTTTTTTCATACAAGGTAATGATACATTTCATGTAAAAGTGCTGCCAAAATCACATACGAAACAAGTTTTTAATGGTTTCAACCATTCTGCGTCCTATCACTGAAAAACATGAACCACATTGCTAGAGGCTTCATTGACTCATTCTACACTGACCATTTAATGCATTTCGAAGCTAGCTTCAAACTGTGGTGGCCAAACAACTTGCACAAAAGTACACAAAAGAATGGTTTTAGGCTCCTTTTACACTGCCATATAATCCAATCCAAAGCAGATAATCTGGATTTTTTATGGTAATGTAAAAGGAACCTCAATGTGTATCAGTATTCTGTGATTTTGTACGATCACCATCTGGGCCTCAAACTGGTTCCAGGGTTTCCTAGGTAATCATCTGTCGAGCAAAACCCCTTCAAAACTGGTTTGAAATTGCATTAAATGGTAAGTGTAGATGTTGTTTTCTATGTTATCACACAAGTGTGATAAGTAAATTTGGAGTCCATATAACATTTCGTTGTGTTGATCTAAACTACTTCTTTATGTTACTGGACACAATACTGCATATGTAAATTTTGTGTTTTAATAATAATAATAATAATAATAACAATAATAATAATATCCTGAAATACTCAGGACTGTCCCTTTTTTTTTTTTTTTTTGAAGTAGCTTATAAGTTGTGAATAAATTTGGGGTGCAAGCCTTACCCATTTATCTAAGACCACTGAATTCAATGTGTCTTTAATAGGAAAAGCTACAATCCTCTACACATTACTAAGCATTTGAATTATATGAGACTCATTTGTGCATCAAAAAGCATAGAATTGCTGTGTAACAAGTTTAGGATTGTATTCATTGCAATCTTAGTTTTAAAAAGGTAACTATTCTGGAAAAGAAAAACTTGCAAAAATCAATAAGAACCGGCCGTGCATTCAAGCCAACAGTTTACAAGGCATCACATACACAAGAAAATGATTTAGATGGCAGTTTGTAAAAATATTAATTGATGTAATATCATCTGCAATCCAAAATAGTCCAGGAAAGGAGATGCCAAAAGTTGCTGACTCTGTAGTTGAAACAATAATAATGGTTTTTGGATACAGATAACTACTTCTTCCAATCAAAGCATCCTTCTTTCCTAATGGTTTTAACAGATGTGGAAAAGAAAAAGCTTTCTATTGCTGTAATGCAGCAGCATAAGAAGTGAACATGTGCTGTTTAATAATAAGGGGTGTGTGTGTGTGTGTGTGTGTGTGTGTGTGTGTGTGTGTGTATATATATATATATATATATATATGGACGGACACCTGTCAGGGATACTTTGTGCTTTTCCTATATGGCAGAGGGTTGGACTGGATGGCCCAGTTATGTGGTCTCTTCCAACTCTATTGTTCTATGGCAAACAAACAAGCACATCATACAGTTCTATACTAGTTAGAACTTACTTTCTAACTAGTACAAAAATAGAGAAACACATGATAACATACACAAAAAAACCCATATAGACACAAAAAATCAAACACACCAATATAAAGATATACATATATACATATCTAACATAGATACTAAAAGAAGATTAACTAGCAAGCATAAAGACCAGTCTATAGACCTCTCACACTGCTCTTTTTCTAATTCAAACTAGACACACTGCTCGTTTCCTAATTCAAACTGGTTTTCTAATTCAAACTACACATGTGACATTATTTTATATGGTGTTTTTAATAATGTTTAAGGTTTTATCACGGGAGGGTCAATTTTGATGTTTCCTTCAGGACATCAAGAAACTAGATCGTGATGATTGGGAAAGTGGGCTGACGGCAATGGAATGCTCTTTACACTTGACGGCATTGAATTGGTGCCAACACTGAACTGCCCAGAGTCCCCTTCAGAGTTGAGAAGGATGGTATACAAATACAGCAAATAAATAAATAAATAGTCCGCTCCCTCTAAGGAATATTATATAGTCAAACTTCTACATTTAATAACATCCTTATTTTATCATAGGCTATCACTCGTGGCCAATTGTCTTTCAAGTGTAGGCAGTGGATTCGTAGAGACCTTTTCTTGATCCACATGTTATTTCACATACATTTCCAGATGGAAGGTAGTCCTAACAAGAATTTCACTCTCCAATTACGTCTCCTCAAAATCCACAGCACTGTTGGTAACAGCTGACCTCCAGTTATTGTTGTTTATTAGTTCAGTTGCTTCCAACTCTTTGTGACCTCATGGACCAGCCCACACCAGAGCTCCCTGTTGGCCGTCACCACCCCCAGCTCCTTCAGAGTCAAACCAGTCACTTCAAGGATACCATCCATCCATCTTGCCCTTGGTCGGCCCCTCTTCCTTTTTCCTTCCATTTTCCCCAGCATCATTATCTTCTCTAAGCTTTCCTGTCTTCTCATAATGTGGCCAAAGTACTTCATCTTTACCTCTAATATCCTTCCCTCCAATGAATAGTTGGCCTTTATTTCCTGAAGTATGGACTGGTTGGATCTTCTTGCGACCCAAGGCCTCCAGTTAGAACGCTTGAAATCCAGGACTTCCTAATTCTCTATGCATATGTCATATTTGTTAAGGTTAGCTTGAAGCCCATATGTAAATCTGCTGTCCATCAACATTCAATTTTCCGTTCCTGAGCTGAGAGTAAAGTAACTGTTTTGGAAGACTGTGATAGGGCATTTGAACAATGTGGCCAGTCCAAAGTTGATGGACTTGCCACAAAAGTGAGAATCATTACTTTATTGCTGCTGGTCTTTGCTTCTTCCAATAACATACTACAAGTTCATAAATCTCACAAGTAATGAACCTCTACCCCCTCAATAAAAATATTATTGGAGCATATTATTCAGTAAATCTCAATTCCAGAAGGTTTTCCTCTTCTCAATTTCCCTTATGATTGAGATAGATAGATGATAGATAGATAGATAGATAGATAGATAGATAGATAGATAGATAGATATTACCACAACGATGTCTGCTTTTAACTATATTTTATTTTATTGTGTTTTCCCTTTTTTATAAGCCATTTTGAATCCCAGTCCGGGAATAAGGCGGGATATAAATAAAGTGATAAATGGATATAGATATATTAGATAAGATCATAAAATAAAAAATGCTCAATATACATGAAATAGAAAATCTTCTGCTTTAGATCAAATTCTGACAGCAGGGCAAGATCTGTATCTAATATAGTAGAGTCTAGTAAAGAATTTGAGAAAAGATTACCATACGGCATTCCTTAGAATGTTGGGAACCAAGGATGGAAACGTAATGAAAAAAGGATTGGCAGTTTAACTCTCGGAGTAGGTTGAAATTGGAGATTTGGGGTTTTGGGCAGAAAGAACAGAATATGAATAAGTGAGGGATCAAGGAAAGTGAGGAATAGGTACAGATTTAACACTTAGAATGTAGCCAAACAATTCTAGGGTGTTAAGTTATCCTCAGGTAGAAGTCAAGAGAATGGCAGCACAGAGAAAACATCTTTCCTCCCCAAAGCAAATGTGGCTTGGAAAATGTCTTTCTATCCTGCAATTCAAACGACTAACAAAGCGACCGGCATCCAGTTAAATCGTAGCTTGGGTATTTCTTCTCCTGGGCCTGGCATTCATTTATTTGAACGTGTATATTTCACCTCTCTATAATGAAATCTAACTCAAGATGCCTTGCGGCAGTGCTTTTAGTCTATCTAATATGGATATATTGTTTTTTTACTAGGGGTGTGTGAATCTGTTTTTTTCTGTTTTCATTTTGAATTTTGTTTCAAATTTCGAGTGCCCTACCATTCTGTTTTTGGCAAGATTCCAGGAGATTGGGAGTAGGGGTGTTTAGATTTGTAATTTGGAACCCTGAGTTCCATTTCCATTTTGGGAAGGATCTTACCCAAAACTGAATTGTGGAGGCACCCAAAATTCAAAACAAAAACAGAATGGATTCTGTGCCAGTTCACACCACTGTTTTTAACAAAGGACCTCATCACACTAGAGAAAATAGGGTTTGTATTTAGGAAGGAGCCTTTAACAGCCTCACTCAACTACAAACCCCAGAATTCGACAGGAGGCAGAAACTGGATTTAAAGTGGATTCATTCTCTAGTGTGATGAAGAAGCAATGTACTAATTTTACAAATAGGACCCAGTGCCATAGCTGTACCATTGGCTACAATGGCTTCTCTTGCCTTGAAACTCCCTTGTGGACCGACAACGGATACCTTACAGAAGAGCACCACTCCATAGATCAACTTTTTGAGAAGGACTATCTTACACAATACAAATCACCAGAAAATTAGAAACAGACCTACCTATAAAACAAATGGCAACAAAGCAGTGCCATGAATACAGTGTCAACAACAGCAAACTAAAAACATTAAAGACTTAGCTCATGTCTCAATGGAAATAAATTCCCATTCGTTTTTACATAAGCAGACAGTCTCTGTCTAGACTGTTCCAATGCTGTAATTGTATTACTGGGTTTCTAAACTGGTTTTCTTTGGGAGACTTGACTGATTGTGGTAAAGACTTGCCACGTCATGTGGCCTCCTCCTGGCGTCTGGAGTAATGAAATAAAATACCCCCCCCCCCTTTTATTAGTTAGGGTTATTGTTGCAAGGTGAGATTTTATACAACTGTGTGTAGGGGGCCTCAGATAACGTAGTTCAAAGAAGATAATGTGGAATTAGATCCTGGGATATACAGCAGTCTAGAGCTAACCTCAGTCCAATATTCAAACCATGACACCATATTGGCACAATACTTCATTTTAATGTCTATGAAAATATGATCTATCTATACACACGCGCGCGCGCACACACACACACACACACACACACACACACACAATATAGGCTACCAGTTTAGTGGAAGGGGAAAGAAATAAAAAATATAGAGTGCATCTACACTGTAGAATTAATGCAGTTTGATTCCATTTTAACTGCCATGGTCAGTGCTATGACATTCTGGGAACTGTAGTTTTATAAGGGCTTTAGTCTTCTCTCCCAAAT